CCCCCAAACACCCTCAAAACGCACCAAAATAACCGAAAACAACCCAAAATATCCCAAAACAACTCCAAACCACCCCAAAATACCCCAAAACACCCCTGAAACAACCCAAAATCCCCCAAACCAGCCTGAAATACCCCAAAACACCCCAAACCACCCTGAAAACACCCCAAAAACACCCAAAACACTCCAAAACACACCAAAATAACTCGAAATACCCAGACACCCCAAAATACCCCAAAAATACCCCAAAACAACCCAAAATACCCCAAAACACCCCTGAAACATCCCAAAACACCCTGAACCACCCTGAAAATGCCCCGAAACACCCCAAAACAACCCAGAAACACCCCAAAACACACCAAAATAACCCAAACCAACACAAAATACCTCAAAACAACCCAGAAACACCAAAACGCACCAAAACCAACCCAAACAAACCAAAATACCCTAAAACCACCTCAAACCACCCCAAAACACCCCAAACACCACAAAATACCCCAAAACACCCCAAACAAGCCAAAATACCCCAAAACCACCTCAAACCACCCCAAAACACCCCAAAATACCCCAAACACCCCAAAACACCCCAAAACTACCTCAAACCAACCCAAAACACCCCAAACGACCCAAAAAACACCAAAATACCCCAAAACCACCTCAAACCACCCCAAAACACCCCAAAATACCTCCAAACCACCTCAAACCACCCCTAATACCCCAAAGCAACCTCAAACCACCCCAGAACACCCCAAACACCCCAAAATACCCAAAATCCACCCCAAACCAACACAAAACACCCCAAACAACCCGAAACACCCCAAAACACCCTAAAACACCCCTAAAATACCCCAAAACCACCTCAAACCACCCCAGATACACCCCTAAAAAATACCACAAATTGACCCGAAACACCCCTAAAATAACCCCAAATCAACCCAAACCCACCCTAAAACATCCCAAAACACCCCAAAACACAACAAAGCGCCCCCGAAACAACCCAAAACACCCCAAAACGACCCCATAACAACCTCAAAGTCCCCAGTAGATGGTCCTACAATGTCCCCCCAAACCCTGGGTAGATGTGTCCCACCACCAGCCCTCCCCCTCCTCCTCCTCCCACGAGACCCTTCGAGGTCCCTACGGGTTTGTCACCCCCCGGAGACCCCAAAACACCCCAAAATGACCCCATAACAACCTCAAAGTCCCCAGTGGAGGGTCCCACCTTGTCCCCCCCAAACCCTCATTAGATGTGGCCACCACGGGTTCCTCCACCCCCGACTCACCCCACGGGGACATTTGGGGTCTGCACTTCTCCATCACCCCCCGGAGACCCCAAAACACCCCAAAACAACCCCATAGTGACCCCATAGCAATGAGAGATGGTCCCACCTTGTCCCCCCAAACCCTGGGTAGATGTGGCCACCATGGGTTTCTCCACCCCCCGCTCACCCCATGGGGACATTTGGAGTCTCCATGGGTTTGTCACCCCCTGGAGACCCCAAAACACCCCAAAATGACCCCATAACAACCTCAAAGTCCCCAGTAGAGGATCCCAACTTGTCCCCCCCAATCCCTCATTAGATGTGGCCACCACGGGTTCCTCCACCCCCTGCTCACCCCACGGGGACATTTGAGGTCTCCATGGGTTTGTCACCCCCCGGAGACCCCAAAACACCTCAAAACGACCCCAAAACACCCAAACCCACCTCGTTCTCCCCCCCAGCTGCGTCGTCAGCACACGGCCCTTCACAAGCTGAACGGGGCGGCCCTGCTGGGGACGTTCCTGCTGTGCCGGGTGCTGCTCTTCCCCTACCTGTACTGGGCCTACGGGCGCCAGCGCGGGCTCCCCCTCTGGGCCGTGCCCGGGGCGCTGCCCCCCCTCTACAACGCGGCCGCCGCCGCCCTCCTCGCCCCACAACTCTACTGGTTCGGCCTCATCTGCCGCGGGGCCTGGAGGACCTTCCGGGGAGGGGGAGGGGGGGCCAAACCCCCCTGAGGGGGGGG